AAAAACTTTAAAACTTAAAATCCTTTCAGATGTAGTAATGTTACTACATGTACTAGTTAGGAAAATTTAAGAACTTAAATTTAGACATGTTTTGCAAAAAGAGTAGGGAAAAATGTAAAATGGCTATAACTATTGCATACGATGTCAGAAAAAAACGTATAATATATCAAAATGTTCAGCACGAAATTCCGCATCCGATTTTGACAGCCTATGACCTGTTTGCAAATTTTTAGAATCCTCAAATTCTAAAAGGAAAAAAAGTTAAGCTCAAATTTCATTTTTTCTTGAATTTTGGTTAAATCAGGTCAAACTTTGGTCAAATTACTTATTCAAGAAGTATTAGGGTTACTAAATAATTTTTTAATAATATTAGTGTTACTAAATAATTATTACAGTTTTTTAGAATTTTGGTCAAATCTGGTCAAACTGTGGTCAAATCTGGTCAAACTATGGTCAAACTAATTCAAGAAATATGAGTGTTACTACATAATTATTCAAGAATATTAGTGTTACTAAATAATTATTTCAATTTTTTGAATTTTGGTCAAATCTGGTCAAACTGTGGTCAAACTATGGTCAAACTACTTACTGAAGAAATATTAGTGTTACTAAATAATTATTGTTTTTTAGAATAATAGTTTCAAACTCAAAAAGTGAAACATGTGACTTCATGCTCAAGGTAAACTCCTGAGGGTTAATAGGATTGACATCTTACTATTGTTAGGAAAACAACAAGTGCAGACTTGGAAACGAGGGGGAATAGAGCCCGAAAGTTAAGCGTGCTCAGGCTGGAGTAATGAGTGGATGGGTGACCGGCCGGGAAGTTAGATGATTTGGAATGATGATGGGTCATTAGAGATTAGAGGTTAAATTGAGCAGTGACGAGGGGTGATTAGAAATTAAATTGGAAGATAATTTAGTCCCAGTTGGTAACACGTGGACGGCCTTTAGTCCCGGTTCGTCTAAGAACCGGGACTAAAGGGGGGAGGCTTTAGTAACGACCCTTTAGTCCCGGTTCCAGAACCGGGACTAAATGCCCTTATGAACCGGGACAAATGGCCCTTTTTCTACTAGTGGAGCCTGTTTGAAAGAACTAAAGATAGGTTCCACATAGCTACTAAGAACCTGATGAGCACTATTGAAGGCTACACTACAAGCAAAAATTATGGATATATGGAAGATAGTTGAAGAAATTCTGGTCGGTGTAGCTGAAGAAATACTGCTTGGTGGAGCTCAAGATATGTGCAAGATGTTGTCTGGTCAGGTATCATCTGTCTAAAACATGACATCCTGCTTTGCCTTCCAAAACTTTCAGCCCTATATCTTGCAATTTTGATTCTCCTGAAATCATAGTGGTCTTCGACGAGATACCATAGTAAATCTTAGGACCTGCAATTTTCACTTAGTAGCATCTAACAACACGAAGAACATAGCCCTGAAAAATAGAACTAGAGAGAAGAGAAACTATAGGGAAAGATAAATTCCTGTGAGCAACATTATGAGCTATACCATTGATCTTTGTGGATATATGATACACATGAGCTTGAAGATGAGAGGTGAAGGAGAAGAACTCAGCCAAGGTATTCCTAATGCTCCAGGGAGTAGAGGCATTGGTAATGCTCCTGTTCGCCGCAGGCGAGGCCAATGAGAGGCAATCTGTGAGAAACGTAGGCTGAGCTATCAGAAGGTGATTTGTAACCTGAGCAGCAAGTAGAAGGGCAACAACTTCAGCTTGAAGAGGTGAGTTGGTAACTACAGCCGAGGCTTGAATTTGCACATTGACCTCAGTTTGATCCTACATAAAAGTAAGGAATACTCCAACACCAGTAACCTTTATTCCTTGAGGAAGACCTGGAATTTTTGCACATATATAGGCCGCATCCGAGTAAATTTTTGCTCCAGAAATAAGAAGGTCAGATCTGAGCGTTTGGCCTTGCATAGGAATTTGATTATTTGCCTCCAAAGTACGTGCATGTTGAACCTAGTTTTGATTAGAGTAATGCAACACATCACAAGATTGGTTAGTCAAAGCTTCAACAACATTATGAACATGACGAGGGAGGGGATTTTTCCTAGAAAAAAGACGGTCATTCCTAGCTTTCCAAATGCACCACATAAAAGTAAAAATGTTAGATATGGATGCATTTGGATG